TTCTGACCAAACAAATTCCAAAATGTGCAGTCACTGGAGAATAAAATGTATTTAATGGCTGTTACTGCTGTTAGGTCACATTAAAAAAGATGCCTGAATTCAAATTAGCCTCATTTTTTCTTTTCTCGTCTCTTTTTTCCCCCCCTCGGTAAAAACATCTATAATTTGAGCTACTCAAAAAGAATCCTAATTGCTCATCTGAAAAGGACCATGATTGGATGCTTGAATTTCTTTATATAGGAATGACTCACAATCCCTCCGCTTGAATGACAAACAATTTTCTCTGGCAAATGATGCCATGTGTCTCGTTGAGTAGAAATAAGAATAGGTCCTGTTTTCTGACATGTGCACAAAACACGCACTCAGTCATATGCATGAGATGAATTGTGTCCAAAATGCAAAGACCAAAAAAAAAGAGCAAATGTCACCAACTTGTTTTGATTATACATACCAAACACTGGAAATGAAAACAAGACACACATTCTCTCTGTTTTTTAGACAATGTTCAAAAGTATGAAACTTTAACTCACTTGACATTATCACCATGTGCAAATGTTGGCCTTTTTAATGATATGAAAACACTGAGCTAAGCTCCTGCAGACTGCAATACATTCTCCCCCAAATGAGAGCTGAAATGCTATAGGCAATTAGAAGAGTCTCTAGAATTTCCTTGAAATGAAGTGCTAAATGAAACGTGGTCAGACTGACAAGTCTGCTCTCTTTTTCACTGAGCTTCTCTGTCTTCCTGCAGCACTCCATGCAGAGGGGAAAGGTATACACGTCTCTTTTTACCAAATCAAGAGTCAATGCATGTAAGCCCTGTGGTGATTTTCCTTAATTATGCTTCAGGGTGATTTGCAAGGTGGATGACACAATGAGGACATGATGTCAGTCAAATAATATCCCAGCATTTTTTTCTCACAGTGAGCTCAGATTTACAAGCGTACCGTACTGTATCTGAGTTCTGTTAGGGAGTCAGCATTTTCCATGTATGGAATAAATCAAGAAAAACCACACATGGACATAATCTTTTGGTGGCTCACATGTCAGAGGCTTAAAGTCCTGCAACACTGAGTATGGGAGCTGACCTCTGGGGAAACTAGGCCATGACCTCCTTGTCTGCAGAGCTGCATTGAGGACATTATAGCATCACTACATATAGGAATCCACAAGGAAGAAGAGACTGGTTTATGTTTCACTCTGTATTACCACAGTTAAAACAACAATATCGAGAGATGGAAAATTGCATTGTCTTGTTGTCAAGTAAATTAATGATCCCAGAATCATTATCTTAACTTCTGTTTGTGCTCTTGGACCAGATTGTTGACACATTCAAGACACACTGCTGGTTCCCATGCCCTCCTGAAACAAGCAAGGTCAGTGCGACCTGGCACAGGGGTCAAAGGTCGGCCAACTTGTCCAGAAAAATGCCCTCAGGTGATTGTAAGAATTAAAATCGCGCTTTTTGGAAGTCCCGTGCTGTCTCCCTGTGCACTTTTGCCCACATCCTAAAACAATTATTTTAACTTATTGCACCAGAAGCAAGTCGAAATGTTATATTCTTATAACTTAAGTACATTCAAAGGGGAGTAAGACAGGTCCACTCAGTGAATTAATATTGATTCTGAGTCAAAGAACAATCTTTAACATTTATCTCTTAGCCCAGAGACAAATTTATCTCCTAATGCCCTGCAGGCTTACTGTACAGGTTGTTACTACCAGACAGCTACAGGTACAACTGACAGCTAGGGTGTGTTTGGTAATAAACAGAACTCACTGGGACACACTCTTTAAGGCATTTTTATACACCTCAACACCACGAATTGATCAATTAAATTTTTTTTAATAAAATCACATGATTTTGTCTTTTTTATGCTAATGACTTGAACAATAAACAAAAACAAATATATATTAAAATCAAATGTAGCGCTGACTCTTTATATTGTAATGTATATTCATAAAAATGAAAGACTTATCATTCATCCTTGGTTCAGCTGCCCTTAGGCATTATAGTTTGCATGATTGTGCTTAATGTAAATAGTACAACATGTACTGCACTTCTGTGGGTGTGTCATGTTGTACATCAGGGACAAAAACTGGTCTGGCAGAATTTCAGAGATTTTCTGTGTATGAAAATGGTGAGTGAGGACAAAGCAAGTCATCTCTTGTTATACTGTAAACATATTTAACAATATATTTAATTTTCTAACGTCCTCTTAATTGTGGAAAACATGCTGTAGGGTAATTTACTTAGCTATCTGACATGGGGTAATGTAAATAAAAATATCTGCAATCATAATTATATGCAAAATAAAAACATTATTTTATTTTAAATGAGGTGTATGCCTGTTCACTTATTTTATAGGACCTACACTCCAACAGCTGGCAGCCAGACACTTGTAATCTGATAATATAATTAAACTTGGCATAACTTCATCACAAATCTGTCAAGAAATAAAAACAACACATTGCTTTTGCATATCTGTAAAACCAACGTTTGCACTCATAAAACTTTCTGCTGCACTGAGATATTATGCAATTTCCCTCTTTTGTTTGCTATGTGAGGCAGTTGACTAAGAAGTCTCAGTATTAGAAAAATATTACAGCACAAACACAAAGAGGCTTACTCTACATGGACACATGTAACTTTAAGTTATGTTGTACAGTAATTACTTAATGTTTTGAAACCCCTTTAATGATGCATAAATCAGGACTCATGATGTTTAAAAAAGGCTGTGATACTTTCAAAGCTGTGAAAAGTTTGTACTGAATACCTTCAGCCACTGCTCAAAGCGACAGGACTCTATTAATGTGAAATTGTGCCTAATTCTCACTATGAAAGATATGACTGCTCCACAGAAAAGAGCCTGATAGAATTAAATCACCATAGTAATCACCAAAATACAGAAAATAACAGTAATGTTTCCTTGAGAAACATTCGATGTACGATAACATAAACTAAACAATGTACGCAGCCACTACAGAAGCTTTACAGTAGTTGTCACTTCCCCTGTCCATACCTGCAGTCTGCTCTGTGGTATGAAAGAAACTTCAAGTGAGTGTAAAACAATCTGCCAAGTTTCTGTTCTTTAACGTAAAAGTAGCATTTAATGACATCACAAAGCGATTTACTCTTTTCTGCTCTAACTTTGGGAAAGAGATGTTCAGCATTCACTTTTAATTTTTTAATTCAGCTATCCAAGGTCACAGAAATATCATGTGCCGATTCTGTTTTGAGATGATTTTCAGTTTAAACTAGCACAACCCTCAGCATTTCTTTTGTTCGCCCACGCTTTACTCAAATCAGTCATCATTTCTGCAGGATGAACCGACAGCCAAATTATCTTATCTACCTTTCATCTTCCAAATTTTTTCATCTGCATCACATTTTATTTGAGATTAAAGTAGGGCTGTGTCTTTGTGCAGCACTAATTGCCATAGAGCTTCAGTAATTAAAGGACAATAAAGCCTTAGTAGTAATTAGTTTCTCTTGTTTGGTTGCTAGCCCATCAATTGTGCTTCAATAATACTGATCATTAGCATGCGCCTGGGCAGTGAGGGATGCTGGGAAAGGAGCCCTGCACACACAGCACTCCACATTCCATTCCCATGAAGCCATGGCACCGAGCCATGTGGTTAACCCTCTGTGTGCTGGGCCGGCGAGAGTGGCAGTCTGTGCCTACCAGCGAAGGCCTGCGCTGTAGAATAAAGAGGTTGCACTGTAACATAATAGACCTGCTGAAATAATGACCAGCTTTTTACAATTTCTGAAGGTTGGGAACATACGAGCTGCAGCAGTGGGCAGATGCTGCTGTCGTGGTTTGTGTAAAAACAATTGTACCCTTCTCCGTGTTACATGCCCCTTTATTCACATCCAGGTTCACCTAATGAAAGCCTGTCTGCGGTACTGTTAAGGAGTGATAAAAAGGATATATTATCGCCTTTTTAATGCCGATCCATCCTAAAAACAGATCAAATTAGGTGTCTTTAAACAGAACAGCATCGGGCGAATAAAGAACATTTCTGTGCAGGCAGGGTGTGTGGATTGTGCTGTAAACTGTGGCATAGTAATAACGCCAGGCAGCAGAAAATGTGCTCTGTTCTGTACTTTGCCTTGACATGATTGAAAGACAATGGTCCCATGGATAGGCCATTTCAACATCAAATGTGCATGCACATCACAGGGCAAGGGTGTGCTATCCATCACATTCAGTGAGCTGTCAGAGGCAGCTCTCACAGCCCCAGCTTCTCTCCACACACATTTGCAACTGCATGGCAATACAAGATTAAACCTCTGCGTACATATTCCACAAGGAGCATACCATATTTTACACACTTTTGAAAGTGGCCACAGTTAGAACTATGCTTCCTACATTGTTGGGTGTAGTTACTTCAAGAGCTTTAAAATTTTTTGGATGTTCTCAAATTAAAAAAAAAAACATTAAAACTTAACATTCAAGCAGAACTAGACCACAAAAACAACTTTATTGTCGTTGAAATTAACTTCACATTAAACAAAAAACATTAATAGCCTAACAGAATAATTTCTATTCAAAACTTGACTTTATAAGAATGAAAATATCTCTCAGAGTTGTGTCCCTTTGCTTTAACCTATTCATGGGCATTATGGTAAAATGAGTGGCCTAACCAAGTGAATTTTGCTCACTGCTTCAGGCTACAGACTGTAATAGGTTTTTATAAAGTCAGGTGATGTCGGCATTAAACACAACAGGTCCAGGTTGTGGCCATGCAAATTAAAAATAAAAATACATAAAAACATGGTCTAACTACAGAGAGACTCAGTGCAACCTCCTCCCATCCGCCTTGGCACAATAACCCAAATGGAAGCCTTTATGAAGCACACTGATGGAAGCAGAGTGCGCTTTATAATGCACAGCCGTGCACACTACTACATTTCCAGCTAATCAGAAGCGCGCAGTTGCAGAAAGGAGAGCGGTTGCCAAGGCAGCCACCAATCTCCCCTCCCCCTTCTCCCTCCGTTCCTCTTTCCCGTTTATTATCGGCAGAGGTCGCATGGCAGAGGGAAGTCCAACCACTTCTGTACTGGAACCAATGCAAGAATATGCACCTCCATAACAAAGCCTGTGTGGAGTCCTAAGAGCAGTGGGGGAAAACAAGAGGCTGCAAATTTACGGGCTGCTGTTCAGCCGTTAAAAAAAAAACAGGTTTTAAAAAGAGAGGATCTAAGTTGGAGGTCTGCTTTTTATTTGTTCTGGAACAACGGGATAGTTTTGCCAACACGTGTGTATCCATGAAATTCGTACTCTGCGTTTTGAGTGAGTGAGTGTTTCGCATCCTGGTGCGGGGCTCTGAGGAGGACTGCGCATCACCAGAGTTGGTGCCGAAGTTCGGCCGCGAACGGATGTGAGGGAAGAGTGTACCGAGTAAAACTCCCCCACTTCTTTTTGTGTGTGTGTGTGTGTGTGTGTGTGTGTGCGTGCGTGTGTGTGTGTGTGTGTCTCCTGCTTCGGCGTTGTGTTTGCTGAGACAATAGTGAGTCAAAGACGCTGAAAGTGATTTCATGCCTTCAGTCTCGCACAACCTGAGATGGACGTGAGATTTTATCCTGCGCCCCCGGCAAATGTGGGTTCATGCTCCCTACCGACTGATCCAAGTTGTCTGAGCTCGTTGGACTATTACCACTCGAACAAGGTAAATAACAAACTGTGTAGCCTCGTGCACTGAAATGCTTAATGTCTCACCTGTCTCTCTATATGAACCCAACACTGCCTGCAGCATTCACGCAATGCCAAACGCACGCTTTGGACGCGTTTTATCCACGGGCGCAGCACACACTCTTTAAACAAAAAAATGAATAAAAATGTCAAGTGTCAGCAAGTAAAGTGACCTGATGTAGGAAGGACTGGTTTTAATTTAGACTGGAACAGGACATAGAATTAGTGTTTACTGTTACTTTAGACTGAGACCTGCAATCATTCTTTTTTTGCTGTTGAAAGAAAATGTGTAGTCCCAACTTTTTTTCTTCTAACCAACATGGTTATTATCATGTTATTTCCCCGGTGAGATTGTGCAGTTGTATTTTGCACAAAGCTGGCATTAAGTGTCCCACCCGATGTGAAATACCAGGGGCTGTATAGAATCCATACTGCCCCACTCTGCTCTCTGCTCCAACATTATCTTCCCTCTCAATGATTTCTTATAGCTTACATGGTTTTCCGCTGGGAGTTCAACGATTAAATGGATGTGTGCCAGTAATGTACTGTTAATTACTTTGTAAGGAGAAACCACAGGGTCTGGCTGGTACAAGTATCACTCTTTTCTCTCTCTCCGTGTTGACACCCCGCGGCTTTTGGCTTGTGACCTGCACTGACTCCATTGCAAGTGCGCAGGTGGCATTTAAAACAACATTATTCATATTTTGTAGTTTGACATTTTACTAGAAAAAAAAAACAAAAAACCCATCATCCTCTGCGAAAAACAAGCCACGCTTAGTAATCCTGTTATAGAAAAGGGAAGGATGGGGCAACACTATAGGTGCATTAAATTGAAAGACTGGCATAGGAACTAAAAAAAATACCACAAAGTAAGATAAGCTCACAGCAAAAGTACTAATGAGTACTGCAAACACAAGATATACCCTGTGGAAATACTAGGAAAACTATTTTAAACTGTTTAATTAACAGACTGCCACTAGTTTTAGCATCTGAGCCATCTGCAACCACAGAATTAGACTTTGTTGTTGTCACTTACCGTGGTGGGAATATTACAAATCAACAGGCTCTGCGTGTTGACCTGCTGCTGCTATAGATGAAGTTGTTGGGAGATAAAGATGGTTTGGAGTTCGTTTGGCTTGGTCTCTCAGATAAAGATGGCTTTCAGGTATGACAGTGAGGGGAATGTTACACAGTTGGGGATGTTTGTCTTTCACTGTGTGGGCAAATGGAAAATCTGTGTAACTGAACGGAACATTCCAGTAATCAACTGAAAACATCACCATCCCAGTTTAGATCTTTAAAAAAATGGTGCTAGGCTATTCTTTGCTCAGGTTTGGCAGCACAAAGCTAGTTCGAGATGGATAGACAGAAAAAAAAAACCCAATTAGGACGCAGTTTTATTTCTGCAACCCCCGATTCGATCACAGATGGAAAAAGGTCAATATAAAACATTTATTGTAAAGGCCGGTTTACACCTGTGACACACAAATGGGCCCATATAACTGTCTTCCTGGCACAGGCTATCTTTTTTGTAGGTCATGCGAATTAGGATCGCCCTTCATGCGGATAATCCCAAGAATATGCTGATATCCACACACTGCATGAATCGTGGAAACAAAGCCACTAGATATTAAGTGATGTAAAGTGCTTTCATAAGGGAGAAAGCGACACCAACTACTGTCAGTGATACAAAAGTGTGGCGCCCCTCAAAATTACAAGTGTTCATTTGAATTATTGAACTCCCCCCTACTCCTTTTGCTTGAGGGAATGGGGGTGGTGGGGGGGTGTTCTTTCCACAAGGGGAGATATAATTTGCTATCATCACATGTGTAACACTAACTACCTTCACTAGCAATGCAAATGAGGCTGCAGGGAGCAGCAGGGATCATTTGGTGTCCTGTTAACACAGTGCACGAGGTCAAGTTCCTCTCCTCAAACGCTTGTCAAACTGGCTGTGGCATTAAAGAGACATCTGATTTGTTATGTAGCTACTGTATCTGTGGATCAGATCTGCCTGCTGCTAATCATCTCTGACAGCCCTGGTTGGCCAATTTCAAATTCTGTCCAGGTCACTTTCTGAAGCAGCGTGGAGGCAAAAGGCTAATCATAGCATTAAGGTCAATTGTTTTATGGGCTTACTTTGCATATTTATGTGGATATTTTTGGTTCTTAGCTGAATTTGTTGGTGGATTTTTTGGCTTCTAGTTTAGCTTAAGAATATTCTTTTGGGATAATAATACTGGAAAAGAGTCAAAATAATTTGAACAAAAATAAGCTTTTGATAAGATGGTTGCAATTTGGCAACCATATTGAGATTTAGCACAATTATTCCTTTCTGGCTGCTCCAGTAAAAAAAAAAAAAGCAATTTACAGCCTGAGAAAACATCTCTTCTTTTATCACTGTGAAATTTACAGTGTTAATCTGAGTCACACACAAGCTTAATTGGATAAAATGAGCATGTGCTGGTATTTTAGCTTTATACTCTGTTTATTTGCAAACCTGTTTTGTGCACTACTGGCTCACTCTGGATGCTGTGCAGCGGACACAAGCCTAGTTTGAGTAATTAACAAGTTTATGTGACTTCCAGGGAACATGTGTGCTGCTGTCATGTTTTCAGCCTTTGTCACTGCTCATTTGGAGCCGCAGCTCATTTCATTCATAATAGCTGATGTGTGCGCATGCTTCGGGATGTATTCTTTCTTTCACCTTATTCAATGTGCTGATAATAACTGTGATCACCATCCACTTTGTTAATAATTTCCATTGCTTAAGCAGTGTTGTCCATGTTCAACAAAAAACGTCTTGCGAGGAGGAAATGTGAAGCTTTTTCCCAACATTTATCACCGACTGGTGCTTAAATAACATGAATCATTCCGCTGGCCAAATGAATTTGTTCTAAGACTGTAATCACTGAGAAGTTCAATACTGTAAAGCAGAAAAAGGGTGAAGAAAGCAAAGAAAGAGGTGCATAAAATGAGCAGAGAAGGTACTTCAAGTGCAGATTGAGATGATTCAGAGGGATCCATAAATAACCCTGAAGATGTCTACTTCAGTACTTTCAATACTCACTTTATTTCACTGTGAGTGTGTGTGTCTTTTATTACTGTGGTGTTGTCCCACAGTCGAGGAGAAATTACAGAACAATACCATTATAACAGCTTTTTGCTCTGATGGTAATATTAAAGTGTGTCATGTTATAATGTTGTCTGCTGCCTTACAGGCTGCATGGTACATATATTACTCATATATACTGTGCAATTACTGTACACATTTTCACTTTATGTGTTGTAAAAACCATTGAAAGTGTAAAAGATGCATCTTGTCTTATGCAACATGTACACCTGTAATTGCACTGTGGCAGTTTGTTTGTTAGGGACTTTTAGTTTTCTATGTGAAATGGGAACACAGTGTCTGCTCCTTTATTTGAATACCTTAATCAAACAGTGCCGACTGCTGCTGCTGCTGCTGCTGCTGCTGCTGCTGCTGCTGCTGCTGCTGCTGCTGCTGAGGTGAGGTGAGGTGCTGCCGACAGTATAGCAATAGCATAGAGTTAAGGGAGAGTAGGGCCTGTGTTTATACACCCAGGTCCCACCCAGCTCATATATCCTCCCAACAACTGATATCTGCTTAGATAGGGCATGACTGAAGAGCTGGCTTTGTTAGTTGGTGGTCTCTTCTGCCTCAGATAAGCTGAGGAATGATGCGCTCCATTTGAATGCCTTATCTTGGTTTTATTTCTTATTACAGGATTGACTTGTGTATGCCGTGCAAAGGTTTATTACTTTATTTATTACTTTGCATTAATATATTCAGTCAGCTTCCATGAACTGACCATCCTCAAGTGAAACAAGCTATTGAAGAAACACAAATATATTTATTGTTAGTTTTGGATAATTGCACAAGGTTTTTTTTTTTTTTTTCATAGTACTTAAATTTGGCTGTCAAATTAACCACTCCCAGGCTGTAGTATTATGTTTATGTTGAGCTATGTTGTCGCTATTAGCTAATGACAAACTCTGTGGCATGTGACAGAGAGGCAGAAAGGGAGAATCAAAGGATGAGTGAGAGTCAAATGGGTTGAAGTAATCAGTGGCCCAGTATGGCGTTTTGTGTGTGTGTGTGTGTGTGTGTGTGTGTGTGTGTGTGTGTCTGCGCATGCTAACTCGGGGCCATTCAAGCGTTTTGCTGACTACGGAATCACAATCACAATTGCTTTCATAGCCCCGTGCAGAGGAAGGCCATGCATACCACAGTAAGGGCCGGTGACACACAGCGAGCAGGGGCAAAAACAGCCCCTAAATCATTTTCTCCCTGCCCTGACACATGGAGGAGATATTTAATAGGGATTCCAACCATTTGAAATCATTTCAATAAAACTGGAATTGGCTCTGACATTGGCTGAGTCACAGAGCCTGCATGTGGCACAGAGATGTCTTATATATATGTGTGTATAAGAAAACTCACACACAAGTATTTATGTATATAGATAGATGTGTAGATATATATTGGACCGTGAAAAGTCATTTTCCCAACCAACCACAAGGCGTCTACATTCGTTTTTTGTTTGGGAGATTTTTTTTAGAAGACTTCTGATAGACGTAGACGGACATAAATATTAATGAAAGGAAATGACACACGTGATGCTGTAAAACCACATGCGGGATCATGAATGGCTTTTTCACAATTTAAATGCTCTGTGTGTCTTTGTTTGCCTTTAAATGTTTATGTTTGATGTAGGTTATGAGAGTGACGGTATGAATGTGTGTGGTGGTGGGGGGTTACCCATGTGCTAATTATTGGCTCTGGCAGTGCTAAGCTACTTGCTCGTTGGTGGGTAGCAGTGCGTCCCCCTCAGCGTCTGTTACCGTAATTAAGACCAGCCGCCCCACTGTAGTGTGCTTACATTAGTCAGACTGGGCCTTCCCATGGGGCAGTGCGATGGCATTCTCATTCTTACTGTAGAAGAAGAAAGAGAA